ATTCCAAAGTTAACCAGGTTAAATAGGCACATTTATCAAAGCTGGTCCAGCAATTCCAGAAAGCTATAATTTCTGAAGACCAACTTAGAACAGTCATAACTCACAAACTACTTGACCACATGCCATGAAAATTTAACACAAGCTAGTTAGGTGAGTTATCTACAACTTTCTTATTATCATCTTAAGATGATTCTACAGTTAGAAGGGTCAATTAATCCAATAATTGCATCTCTGTCCAAAACATAGACAGAAACTGACATGCCACTTTAAACAGCTATAAATGGAGTTATACATATCCAATAAATGTGGTTCTAGACTTTTTAGAAATCTTATCAAATTATAAACAACTTTGTTGTAAACACCTAATGCAAATTCTACTATTAAGAAGGCCCCACAATACCAACAAGGTAACCACCATCAGGAGTTTGGGCAGGAACAGCCACTGATATTTAAGCAAGTATAACTCAAGATCTACTTAACCAAAAATCATGATATTTAACTTTTTGGAAAGCTTAAGAAAAGTACTACAACTAATGTAATTTCACCAAGTCATGATTCATAACTTAACTGAGCCAATTAATTCAAACATGCAGAACTGTTCAGAGTAGAAGCAAAGCAATACAGGGCATTTGTTATTTTTATAACTCTTAAACTATAAATCCTAAACTCCTGAAATTTTTACCAGACAACAACAATCACCTTAGTAGCACTCCACAAAAATTTCACATTTATTTGAGCATAAAAACTGCAGTTATGACAAAGACAAGTAAGACTAGCATTCAAACCCTAACCTGCATAGATCTATTTTTACAGCTAAAACTTTAAACTAAAATATGCCATATTATAGATCTACTGCATAGACAATTTCATAAGGATTCCAAAAAGTCCACATTTGTTATTTTAGGATTTTTCTACTAATTAATACGGATTTTCAAAGTGTAGCATTCAAAACTGTAAAAAACCAGAGAAAACAAGGAAATTGAAATCTTGCATCGGGTCCCTGCGGAAAACATAAATTAATTGTCAGCTGAATCGACCCTTCTTGGCACTATTCACTTTGGAGTCACAAGTTCTTCACAAAACCCCTGCCTTTTCCCTTATTCGAGCGCGAGGTCCTCTTCTTCCTCCTCCCACGGTAGGAGCAGAAGACGACGGCGCTTCGCTTTGGCCACCGTGGTGCTCACCGGCGGCAAAGAAGGGGTGGAGGAGCATCAAGGGGGCATAGCGGACCCGTGGGACTAACTTTCTCGGCAGAGACGCAGCCCGAACGTCTTTGGCCACGCAGCGGTGGCGATCTTGGCCCTCCTCGACCATGGCGGCGCTGCGTGCCACGGCTATTCCATTGCGAGGAGACGCGGAAGTGGAGGTGGACGGCAGCGTTTGTGTAGTGGGCGTGGAGAGTGCGAGAGGCGTGCGTGGCGGCATAAGTGGCAATGACAAGAAGCCGCTCGGCTGGGCAGCAGCGGCATGTGAAAGCGGAGAGACGAGGAGCGAGAGGGCGATGGGAGGCGGCGAGTGAACTGTGGGGAGCTCGGGCGCTCGGTTTGAAGCAGCAGGGCGCGAGGTGGCGCGTGGCACGGAGGTCGGACGCGCGTTGGCCATGGTGGGGCGCGCTCTGGTGCATGGCCACCACGAAGTCATTTCATCGAGTACGTGGCGTGCGTTGTTGTGCCCGACTTGGAGTCCGTTTTTGGGCCAGCTCTGTTCCGAACTGGGCTATGGGCCTTGAAGCAAAATTCTTCATCTTCTGATGCTCTACAATCTTGATTAAGGGTGCTCGGCCATTAGGCTGTTGGATTAGCAGATAATTAGTACTAAACTTGATAGTGTCAGTGATTTGACAGCGACAAGCAAACATCCAAAATTGATGGTCGAAATGAAATGCAACTGGTGCCATCTTCTTGTATGTTCTTCCCCATCATGTAAGCTCCAACTTTTACATTTGGATCAACTGAAGTTGCTTAGCAAAATTTGGAGAACGCGGAATGCCAACAGTGATGACAATGGATTCCAGACTTAGAAATTTTTCTAAGTACTGAAAACAGCTGTCAATTCAAAGTTCGAGCCTCGATTTGACTTACTTCTAAGCTGATCTAGCTCTTAGTCCAAAAACAAAGTTTGTTCTACATGATATGGACTACAACTTTCATTTAAGGTCCAACCTCAAAACTGGTATAGAACCTACTGTTCTAGTTTGACCAAAGTAGGATCACTATGAAACTTAAATTATCCGTTGTGACCCATTGTGGCATTTTCTTGGCATTTGCTCAACATGAACCTTTCATGACTTTTGTTGTAGAGTTAATCTAGAGTCATTTGGGCAAGGTTGCAAGGTTTGATTGATGATCGAGAATTCCCTTTACTTTATGAATAATTCAAGCAACGACATAACTCGTCATTTCATGTGACTTCTTGATTCCAAACTTCACGAAACTTTTCCATGGATCAATATAGGTGGTTATTGATGTGAGACACACGAAGATATTCCAATAACACCACCCAAGCATATATCTTGAAAAGGGGTCTATAGGCGAGCAAAGGTGCAATCTCCAAGTTTAGGTTGGGGCTCGTTTCTATAGGTTCGACCTTGACATCTTCATCATCACTTAATATACCATGTTTTAGCTCAAACCCATTGCTTAACTGGTGGCAAACACCTGGGGTGTTACAACATGGCCGAGAGAAGCAGCTTTGAGGTGGTCACCAGACACGGCGGTGTGCACCGCCATGTGCGTGACGGTGCACCATCGATGGCTGTCCGGTGCCACCACCGCTTTTTAACCGAGGCTGGGACTTGCTGGAGTTAGGGCCGAAAGGGCACCGCCTTGGTAACCGTTGTGGGGTGGCGGTGCACCGCCCTGGTCACTGCCGTGGGGGTGGCGGTGCACCGCCCTTGTCACCGCCGTGGGTGACGGTGCACTGCCCTAATTATCTAGAGAGCAGGGTTTCCGGGGGCTCGGCCAGGGTGGCATCGCCACACCCTGTCTGGTGCCACCGCCACCCTGTCCGGTGACCAACTAGCCATTGGTCGACCATTGAAATTCGACCGTTGAGGCACCGTCACCCCCTGTCCGGTGACCGCACCGCCCTGTTTGGTGCCCTCACAGAAACAACTCCAAAGGGGTAACGACTCTATTTGCTTGTGTGGCTATAAATAGAGGGTGTGGCCGGCCTTGGCCACCCTCTTGGCACCTCATACACTTGTGCACACCCTTTGGAAGCTGAGCAACACACTCCACTCACTTGTTCACTTGATTTCATCATCTTGAGTGAGATTGGAGAGCGTCTAGTGCATTGCATTGAGTTGCATCATCTTGTGGCACTAGTTGGGTGATTTGGCTTGGTTGTGAGCTTGTTACTCTTATTGTTTGCCGACACCTAGACGGCCCGGTGATTGGAGGATCGTTGAGCGGAGTTGGTGATTGTCTCCGGCCTCGATCGGTTGCTTGTGAGGGGTCTTGTGCCTTCTCCGGCGGAGTGCCAAAGGCAACTCTAGTATATTGCTCATGTCATTGAGCTACCTCAATTGTGGGTAGGTTCTTGCGGCGTCCAATTGTGTGGACGAGGTTCGTGCAACACCTCTTAGCCGCTCAACCACCAAGTGTTGGTCGATGTGAGAACACCCTTGAAGTTGGTAAAGAGCTGTTTATATTTTGACAACAAATATCTGTTTCTGCTAGGGAGCGACGGAAGCAATTGGGATGGGGCAAGGGCAACTTGAAAAAGGATGAAGTTTGAATGACCTCCGCAACAGAATCATGTGAAGTTGAAGCTTTGGATGATCTATCTCTTCCTTATGTCATGTGCAATTAGCATCATTACATGGTCTTTCTTAGCAGCTTGGGAGAGCATGGTTGGATGTGTTCTGTTTTAACTAGGACCTGGTCAATATTATTGCTAACCTATGATCGGACATTAGTAGCTAGAGCCATTTATATCTTGTCTTTTTGCAACCTATATTTGTGAGAACACCCTTGAATGTGTAAAAAGCGGTTTATGTTTTGACAAGTATCATTTTCTGCTAGGGGAGCGTGGAAGCAATTGGGATGGGGCCAAGTGGGAAAATGAAGAAGTTTGAATGACCTAAACAGCAGAATCCATAGGGGCCGTTAGATGAAGCTCCAACAACGGTGACGTTATTTGTGGCCTAACCTCTTCGCCCGATGATGTGCATATCCACAACCGAGGTTGGTTGTACGTTAAATTGTTCCGGCTATTTGTTCTTTGCGAAATGAAATATATCGTTTTGCGTTTCCTTGTACAGTTGCAAGGTATGATTCACTATTGAGTAGCGCGTGAAGCAGATGGAAAATCCAGCTCTCTCTCTCTCTCTTCACAAAAGTCGGAAGCAAGCTACGTGTACAGCAGGGCATAAAATCCTTGGGGACCTGAGCAGTGGCAAGGACGTCGAGAAGAACACCGACGGTTAATCACTGAGGAAATCAGTCAGTAGGAAATTATAAAACTCGGCGAGTGTAAATGAGATTTGGTCATCCAAACATCTCACAAAATTATTGGGCAATTCAAATTCATGGAATTGTTTTTATGACAACACCGTTGTACACCATATCAGGCTATGTTAAAGCACCCCATTGCCTTGTGTAAAACTGGCAGGGGCTTTAAAGTTCCAAAAAAAAATTTATACTTCACAAGAGTGCTAGTACACTCATCCGGATGAAAAGGGATTGAAATCAACAGCATAATCAATCAATAGTTTCGGAAGTTACACCTAGGCTCGCTTCAATGGTGTGCACGAAGGATTTGAAGGGATCACAAGCTGGAAAGCTGAACTTTTACCTCATCAAGTACCCTTTGCAGACAGCAGTGACTCTGGCACAACTCTCTGGGCCAAAAGTCTTCCCCACATCATAATGCTCATCCACAAAGCCCACCAGCCTCTCCCACCCCAGGCCCAACGGGCTTTGTCCTCGTCTTCCTCCGCACCTCGCCGGCCTCCCCTCTCCTCCACTCCATTCCCCTCGTCGCCGACCACCACCACCATGGCGGCCTCTCCGCCTCTGGCCTTAACCCCGGCCCTCCAGGCCTCCTTCCTCTGCTCCCTCGCGCTCGCCTTCCTCCGGGCCGGCCGCCTCGCCGCCGCCGCCTCCCACGTCGTCTCCTCACTCCCCCGCCTCGCCTCCCGCCAGCCTCCTCCGTCGCCTCATCCCCGCCCTCGCCTCCTCGGGCCTCGCCGCCGCCGCCGTCCGCTTCCGCCCCGTCCCAGGTGATACCCTCACCCTCAACTCCATCATCCTCTCCTACTGCAGCCTCCCCTCGCTCCGCCCCGCGCTGAGCCTGCTCCGTTCCTCTTCGGGGCCCCAGGCGCAGGTCGCGGCTGACACCGTCAGCTACAACATCTTCCTCGCTGGCCTCTCCGAGCAGGGCCACGGAGGCTCGCGCCGGCCGTGCTCTCCGAGATGTGCAAGCGCGGCGTGCCCTGGGACGCGGTCACCGTGAGCACGGCGCTCGTCGGGCGCTGCAGGACCGGCCTGGTCAGCGAGGCGGAGGCATTGGCGGAGATGTTGGCCCGAGGCCGAGGAATTGATGGCTTGGATGTGGTGGGATGGAATGCTCTCATTGACGGGTACTGTAAAGTCCAGGACATGGCCGCAGCATTGGCGGTGGTGGAGAGGATGAGAACACAAGGGGTGACACTTGACGTGGTGGGGTATAATACCCTGGTTGCTGGGTTCTGCCACTCCGGCGATGCTGATGCTGCACTGGAGGTAGTGGAGAGGATGAAGGCCGATGGGGTGGAGCCGAATGTGATGACGTACGGCGCTCATTGGGGAGTATTGTAAGAGGAAGGGGATTGAGGAGGCGTTCAGTTTGTGCGAGGGGATGGTCAGGTCGGGTGTGCTGCCTGATGTGGTCACGCTCAGTGCTCTTGTCGATGGCCTCTGCAGGGATGGCCGGTTCTCAGAGGCATATGCGCTTTTCAGGGAGATGGACAAGATCGGAGTTGCGCCGAACCATGTGACCTATTGTACACTTATTGATTCATTAGCGAAAGCGCGGAGGGGCAATGAGTCACTTGGTCTATTGGGAGAGATGGTTTCAAGGGGCGTGGTCATGGATCTGGTCATGTATACAGCTCTGATGGACCGTTTAGGTAAGGAAGGGAAGATTGAGGAAGCTAAGGATGTGCTTCGGCATGCTCAGTCGGATAATATTACTCCCAACTGTGTAACTTACACTGTACTGGTCGATGCACACTGCAGAGCTGGCAATATCGATGGCGCAGAGCAGATGTTGTTGCAAATGGAGGAGAAATCTCTTAGCCCGAATGTTGTCACATTCTCATCGATCATCGATGGTCTTGTTAAAAGAGGATGCCTCGGCAAAGCAGCTGATTATATGAGGAAGATGAAGGACAGTGGCATTGCTCCTAATGTTGTGACTTATGGAACACTTATCGATGGTTTCTTCAAGTTCCAGGGGCAAGAAGCAGCTCTTGATGTGTACCATGATATGTTGCATGAGGGTGTTGAGGCAAACAACTTTGTTGTTGACTCACTGGTGAATGGTTTGAGAAAGAATGGGAATATAGAGGGAGCTGAAGCATTATTTAAAGATATGGGTGAACGTGGTCTGTTGCTCGACCACGTCAATTATACCACCTTAATGGATGGGCTTTTTAAAACAGGAAACATGCCAGCTGCTTTTAAGGTTGGTCAGGAGTTGATGGAGAGAAACCTGTCACCTGATGCTGCTGTCTATAATGTGTTTATCAATTGCCTTTGCTCGCTTGGCAAGTTCAGTGAAGCAAAATCTTTTTTGAAAGAGATGAGAAATACGGGCTTAGAACCTGATCAAGCAACATATAACACTATGATTGCTGCACAGTGCCGGGAAGGGAAGACCTCCAAAGCTCTAAAGCTACTGAAAGAAATGAAGTGGAGTTCAATAAAGCCTAATCTCATCACATATACTACACTTGTTGTGGGCCTTCTTGAGGCTGGGATTGTGAAGAAGGCAAAATATTTGCTAAATGAGATGGCTTCTGCTGGATTCGCTCCAACCTCTCTGACTCATCAAAGGGTGATGCAAGCATGTTCTGGAAGCAGGAGGCCGGATGTGATTTTGGAAATTCATGTATTGATGATGGGTGCTGGTCTTCATGCTGACATCACTGTGTATAATACACTCGTGCATGTTTTGTGTTGCCATGAAATGACAAGGAAAGCTACAGTTGTTTTGGATGAAATGTTGGGGAGAGGAATTGCACCAGATACTATCACATTCAACGCTCTCATTCTTGGCCATTGTAAGAGCAGCAATCTAGATAATGCATTTGCAATGTATGCTCAGATGCTTCATCAAGGCCTCTCACCTAATATAGCTACATTCAACACACTTCTGGGTGGCCTTGAGTCCGCTGGAAGAATTGGAGAAGCGGGTACTGTTCTCAGTGAGATGAAGAAGATGGGCCTTGAGCCCAATAATATCACCTATGATATACTGGTGACAGGATATGCAAAGAAAAGCAACAAAGTTGAAGCACTAAGGCTGTATTGTGAGATGGTGAGTAAAGGCTTTATTCCCAAAGCAAGCACGTATAATTCACTCATGAGTGACTTTGCTAAATCTGGAATGATGAATCAAGCTAAAGAGTTGTTCAGTGAGATGAAAAGGAGAGGAGTTTTACATACGTCCTCAACTTATGATATCCTTTTGAATGGATGGTCAAAGCTTAGAAATGGAACTGAGGTAAGAATACTTCTCAAAGATATGAGAGAGCTAGGATTTAAACCATCTACAGGCACTATCAGTTCTATGTCCAGAGCATTTTCAAGGCCGGGCATGACTTGTGAAGCTCGACGTTTACTTAAGACCCTTTTCAAGGTTTAGGGGGGAAAAAAATGAAGTGTCAATATATTATCTGCCTAGGATGGTCTAATGAGATGATTCTCCCAGAACTTATACAGTTGCAAGAAGGGGTCCTAACCGTTTCGTGCATAAAGAGATCATAACAAATGCAGTTAATTCTGAAAAGAGATAGGCAGGTGTTTCAGAAGAACAGTTTGACGTCCTGACTGGTAGGTGTTTCAGAAGAACAGTTTGACATCCTGACTTACACTGGCTAACAAGCTGAAACCCAAAAATGTATACTTGTGCTATACTCTACCCCTGGACAGAAAGTTGTTGGGCAGTTTGTTTGATAGGATTACGGATCCTACCGCGTAGATCACGGAGTCTGTAGGGGTGAGAGGGAGGTGGAGGCTGGGAACCCTGCGCGGGCGTGGTGGGACGCCGTGGTGGAGGATGGGCGGCTGCTGCTGTAGCCCTAACCTTCACGTGGCTACATGGCGGTACTGTTCACGCGTGAACAGTAGAGGCGGCTAGGGTTTCTCCGGCTCCTCGAGGAAGCTGGAAACAATAATATGTTTCGCTTAATCTCACAAATAGAGTCTTACAAATATTTATATGTCTCTCTAATAGCGATAATTATAAAATAACCCTCTACCAATACTATAATTGCGACAATTATATGGGCCATAGCCCCTCGATGGCGGCTTCCCTCTAGCCCTTAGCGGGTGAGGCTGCGCGACCGTATGGGGATGCCGGTCATAACATCTCTCCTTTTTTGCAAAAACAGCTCGTCCTCGTTTGGAAATCGTGGTGCTCGGCCGCGGAACTCCTCGAGTGACTCCACGTTGCATCATCTGGCGACTGATCGCGCCACTTGATCAAGATCTTCCAAACACCCGTGGCTGCTTTGGCGCGAAGTGAGGCGCGTCCGGACTGGCAGGCCCGGCCATCAAAGCCGGTGGCAAGACACCCGCGGCGATGGGGGATCGCCATGTGGTCTTTGCTTGAGAGGCCCACATGAAAAACATCGTGGATGCGGGTGTCATCGGGCATTTGGAAGGCGGTGGCGACGATGACCGTCGCGCTCCAAAGACGCGAACGGCTCCCCGGTGGCGCTGCCCCAACTTGCGCTTGAGCGAGCGGTCGAGGGCCGCTGCGTGGTGCGGTGAAGGAGACGCAGCCGGCACCACGAGCCCACCTCGAACTCCACATCCCCGTGGTTGGCGTCGTAGTAGCGTTTGGAGAGTCTGCTTGGGCTTGAAGGAGCGGCCGACGGACTCTCGGCCGAGCATCTCGTCATGGCTGCGGAGTATGGCGTCGGCGGCCTCGGTGACGAGCCGCGTTCCGGTAAAATACGGCAATATGGGCGGCGGTGGTCGACCCGTAGATGACCTCGAAAGGCGGGGCGGAGGGCGGTATGGAAAGAAGTATTGTAGCAATACTCGCCCACGGCAATGATCCACCCGCTCGAGGCGGGCCACCTGTAACACTGGCGCAAATACATGGCAATCACCTTGTTGACCACCTCCCGTGGCCGTCCGTCGAGGGTGGAAGGCGGTGCTCATGCGAGCTTAGCGCCCGCCATCTGGAAAAGGTCCCGCCACACGTGGGCGGTGAACACGGGTCCCGGTCGCGGCGATGGAGAGCGGGAACCCGTGGAGCCGTACAATGCCGCCGAAGAAAGCACAGGCGACCGCAGCGGCCGTGTAGGGTGCCCGAGCGCGATGAAGTCGCAGTACTTAGAGAAAGCGGTCGACGGACGGCGAGGATAACCGACTTGCCGGCGACTTTGGGCAACCCCTCGATGAAGTCGATCGAGATGTCCGCCCAAACTTGGGAGGGCACGTCGAGGGGCTGCAGCAGATCCCCATTGGCCGCAACGCCTCCGTCTTGTTCTTGGCGCTTGCGTGGTGCGAGAACGCACCAAGTCGCGCGCCCGATGCCACATCCCGCGGAATGTAGAACTCGCACGCGAGGCGGTGCGCAGCGTCTTCAGGTCCCCTCATGGCGGCGGCATGGGCGGCCGAGGAGGACACTGGTGGCGGAGGTCCCCGTGATCCGCACGAAGATACGAGACCCGTGGAGGAGGAGGCCATTGTCCAGCGCCACGGCTCGCATGAGCTCCCGACTGAGGCTGCTGCGGCGAGCCGCCGCCATCCGGCGCCGTGGTATGTAATGGCGCTCGATGGCGTCGAGGAGGTCAAACGAAGGCCGGACGACCATACCGCGCCCGAGGCGTCCGGCGACGCAGACAAGCGCCACCGCCTCCTGTCGCGGCGTGTGAGAGCGCCCGCCACGGTGTTGTTGGCGGCCCGGCGGTACTCCACGGTGAAGTCGAAGCGAAAAGTTCTTTGATCCATTGGTCTTTGTGGAGCGGTAGACAAACGCCGATCAAGCAAAAATTTGAGACCGTAGTGGTCGGTCACGAACCGTGAAGCGCGCCCCACAAATCTGGCGCCGATGGCGCCTGGCTTACACCAAGCCGATGAGCTCGCGTCAGTGGCGGCGAGCTTGAGGTGGCGAGCTGCAAATGGCTTTCTTGAAGTAGGCGAGGGTCCCGCGCATACTGGTGGAGGGACGGCGCGAACCCCGCGCCCGATGCATCGCGATCAACCACGAAAGTAGCGTCGAAATCCGGCATCGAAGCACGGCCCCGTCATCAAGGCGCGCGCAAGCGCCTCGAATGCCGTCGACGCGGCGTCGTCGTCCCCATGACGCAACGTCGCTCGCCGCAAGAGTCGCGTGAGTGGGGCCGCGATGATGCCAAGTCGCGGATGAACTTCCTGTAGTATCCCGCCAAGCCCAAGAAGCCGCGAAGGCCCGGGCCGAAGCGAGGTAGAGGCCACGCCGCCCACCGCGTCGACCTTGTTTCGGCGTCCAAAGCGACATCGCCCTCGGCGATGACATGGCCAAGATAGGTCACGGATGGCGCCCGAACGAGCACTTGGGCGCTTCAAGTATAGATGTGTGTGCCGCAAGCGGCCGAGGACGATGTTGATGTCTGCGGATGCTCGGACCACGACAGCTGTAGATGAGGATATCATCAAGAAAACGAGCACAAACCGCGGGAGGTAGGTGCGGCAAACACATCGTTCATCGGGGCACGGAAGGTGGCGGGGCATTAGAAAGCCCGAAAGGCATCACCGAAACTCGAAGTGGCGTGGTGAGTGCGCGAACGCCGTCTTGGCGATGTCGCCGGGATGCATCCGCTTTTGATGATACCCCGGCGTAGGTCCGACTTTGTGAAAAAGCGAGCTCCATGGAGCTCATCGAGGAGCTCATCGACCACCGGTATCGGGAACTTGTCCTTGGACGTCTTGGCGTTGGGCGCGGTAGTCAATCGCGAAGCGCCACGACTGGTCCGCCTTGCGCGCACCAGCAAGACGGGCGCCGGGAAAGGTGAAGTGGTCGGCCTGATGATCCCTTGGGTGAGCATGGCGCGCCTTTGCCGCCGCTCTAAATCGCCCTTCAGAGCGATGGGGATAGCGGTAAAGCGCACCGCCACCGCCGTGGTACCCGTAGCAAGTGGATGCGGTGGTAGTCGCGCTTCGCTTGGCGCGGTGGAAGGCCCGTGGGTTCGGTGAAACGACGCGTCTTCTTTGGAGGAGGGCGTCCGCCCGGCCAGGCTGCCGCCGTGGGTCGGGGGCCATGCGGCCGGCAATTTGTCTTAGGGGCCGGAGAAGGTGCAACCGCTTGACCACTCCTGCCCCAGTGACGCGGCGTCGTCGCTAAAGCGACATGTGGTGAGGCCTCGCGATCCCATAGTATGGGGCCCAAGGTGCGGATGAAGTCGAAGCCCATGATGAAGTCAAATCCGCCCAAGTTGAGGCCGACACACGTGATGGCGAAGTCCTCGTCGTGAATGCGAATGGGCACGTTCGCGCGCGATGCCCTCACAAGGCATCGCGGTCGCCATTGGCCACCGTGATCCATGCGCGCCCCCGCCCGCCGGAGCGAGGCCCAGGCGGCGCATGGTCTCCCCGACACGAAGTTATGGGTGGAGCCCGGTGTCGAGGAGGGCGAAGCGTTTCGCCCTTGATGACGACAGGCGGCGAAGCATGGAGTTGGCGGCCGAATATACCTGCAGCGACTGGAGGAGACCACAAAGGCGTTAGCGGCAGCCATCTCGGCCCGGCTAACTTTCATTGGACGGGGTGTCTCGATTGCCTCCACGGGAGTCTCCACGATGTAGTCGTTGACCTCCGTGTAGAAGAAGCGCTTGCACACGTGCCGCGCACGTAAGGCTCGTCCACGATTGAAAACCACGACCCCTGGCGGCGGCGCTCCTGCCGCTGTTCGTCCGGAGAAAACCCGGCGAAAAGTGGGCGTCGGTGTCGGTGTAAGGCGGCGGCGCGGTGGAGGACCGCTTCGGCGTCGCCGCCTGCGGAGTCGGAGTTGACGCAGGGCGGCCGGGCGCCACGAGGCTGCAGGCGGTGGAGATACGCAATCCTCGAACGCCGTGCAAGCAAGTACATGGCGGTTTGGAGGTCGGGCGGTGCGCGAGCTGAACTCGCTGCGGAGCTGGTCCGGCAGCCCGCTAACGCATAACTCGCGCTTTTTGGCGAAGCGGAGAGGTTGCGGGCGTGGCACGAGATGGCATTGTGGCGCTCTCGAGTAATCCCGCGGAAGAACCAAAAGGAAGGCGGGCAAGCTCCGCCAACCGTGTGCCCGAGCAGGGGCCGAAGCGGGCGAACATAACTTCGTGAAGCGCTCCCAAGGGGCATGCCTCGCCCCGCTCAGGCGTAGTACCATGTCCGGGCAACTCGAAGATGGTAGGACGCGAGCCATGTGCTTGTATGCGGATGCTAAGCGTCTCACGACCGCGGAAGAACTGCTTCGCGACTTGGTTCAACCAATTGTGGGGTCTGCCGAGCCGTCGACGTAGGAAACTCCAATTTGTAGAATTTGGGCCCGGCAGGCGCTTGGCAGGGGCAGCACCAAGGCCCGGTCAAAGCCCCCTTCCGCTGGCCGCCCGAGGAAGAAGGCGCCCAAGAACAATGAGCCGTCCACCCCCAGAGAGAGGACCGCGGCGGAAGGCG